GTACGTTCGTCGTAAAAGGTATTTGCAATGTAAATTATACTTGCTAAGAAAATTCAATATTATGTATATTTTTTATAAATATAGCTCATTCATCGCTGCAAATGATATTAAGCAAATATTAATATTTTTTTTTCATTAACACCAATTACTATTAATATATCAAACTTGCTATCAAGACAGAGGAATGTATTATGCGATCATCTAAATTAGTTTTCGTAAAATTAGAAATTATACATACATACGCACGGATGAAAATAATTTCTAATTCAATCGCGTTTCGTGTTATTCAACCATAATCTTTGGTGCATAAATAAAGAAATTAATTTTAGAAAAGAATTATGCGCGTAACTTAACACTTTGAGGACTCTGCTGACAAATTTGTGCTGCTGTGTAATCTACGCTTGCGGATCGGAGACAAATTTATATTTTAATAAAAACGTCACAAAAACGGGATACATTAATTTGCGATGAATTTCAAACGAATCGTTTCTTCAAATTTTACACACGAGAATAAATGATAGGATAAATAGCTTAACAAGTTATTAATTGTATCATTACGGTATTTTCAGTTTTGACTTTCAAAATGAATAGCAGTTTATAACAAACGTACGACAAAGTAGCAAATGTACTGTTTCTTCACTACATGCGACATAAATGGTTAGAACGACAAATTACACCGTAAGAGATCAGAGTTAATTTCAAGCTGCGAGGCACATGATATCGTGACGATCTTTCAACGCCGACATGTACACGACACGTGTATACATGTACACACTCGACAAGGCATGCAGGATGCATGCCGAAAATTATCAAATTTCCTTTCCGCGGAATATCAATTACTCGATTAATCGATATATCAAGCGATGCGAAAGAGGGAATCGCCAATGCATCCGTGGCACCGATGATAGGCGGCCAAATGTGCACAGAGTTCCGATATGTCTTATCTACTCGGGCCGATCTTATCTAAACTTCTCACTCGTGCGACACGCGCTACGAAATCGAAATCGAGTAACCAAAATTCGAGATGCATTCCGAATTTTCCTCGCGCCACGCGTGACCAAGTATCGTCACGCTTGTTACCGTTTATCGTGCGAGAAAGAGTAAGAAGGAGAAAAGAGATAATTTTCGCTTACCCGATGACCGCATCGCCGTTCCTTCGAGATTTGCCGAAAAAGCGATATCAATATCGGAGGAAAGACCGCTGTCTCCTTCTTTCGCTGTTTGGGCGTGAGTCGAAATGATAGATCGGCTTTCCTCACCGCGAGCCGGTTAACGAAACATGCACTGAGCACATCTGAAACTCAAGTTCCTTATACCTTGCTGCACCTGATAGAAACCTCCCACCACGCGCCCCGGCATGCCTCGCCGCCTCACTTCCTCGCCTCCTCATCTCCTGCCGCGTGTCACCCAACCCTACCCCTACACACACGTGGCAGGTAGATATTCATTTCCTATCTTAACATTATAATTAAAAAACGAAAAAAAGTGTCCCGAAAAAAAACAAACGAAAAAAACAAAGGACCGTGACCACGGAATAAATAATTTGATTCGCTATCACTGTTCGAACCATGCCGCGATTCAGCTGACAATAACTTTCGAATTTGCATATTACTCCGACGCTTCGAAAGATTGCATTCGCACTATTGTCATTTCGTGTGGATTTTTAATTGTTTAATTAAATATCTCGTAAGCTACGATATTTACGAGAAATTATTTTCCTTTTACAATCCGGTATTTTGGCATTTACATATTATATTTACGTCAAAAGTGGACGTAATTTGGCAGGAAGATGTAGAGACAAAGAGGCTTTGCAATCTTTTTTATTTTTTTAAGACGCAGATAAGATGTGTATAAAACTTTAGATATTTTAAACGTTCCATCTTTTACACGGATTTAAAATGTATTCATTTTTTGATTATCAGTAATGTAGTATAGTAATTTATTCTTTTTTATGCATCATTATCATAACCGAGTCGGAATTTCAACAATCCGACACTAATTATACCCTGCAAGTTATTCTCCTTGAAACTTGAACATTTTTTTAAATTAAATAAAGTGAAAAATGTCAAAAGTTTATTTACTATACCATATTTAATCGCAAAAAAGAAAGATCGAGGAAAAACACCGCTTCGAAATAGCCGTTAATTATTAATTAACTTCGGCTCGCACTTTGCATGTTCGCTGTTATTCACTGACACTGCGTAAACTGCAAATATATGATGAATATTCATTGTGACGAATGTCACGAAAAAGTATTGTGTTCTTTCGCCCGTGAATACATTATACCGAGAATATTAAAGCATCAAATCAGACAATCGCATTGAATTATAATGCCAAAAGCGTGAAATCATATCTTTGTCTTAAATTATACAAGGTATCGATAAAAACAAATTTTAGAAGTATATAGCACTTAATAAAAGTTTTAATAAATTATCAATTCGTTACTTTTTGTTTATATTTATATTTCAAAAAATTGATTTTTTTGTGGGCCATTAAATGGTAAAAAAATTAATAAAATATAACAAAAAATTCCTTTTGACCTGCATCAATATATTTCATAAAATTTTAGTTTACAGCGGAAATAAATAGTCAATGATGCCATTTGCCAATTCATAAATTGTAATATATGCCTTCGATTAAATAGTCATCAAATATTCATCGAATATAAATAATGACGTAAAAAATTTAATTTGACATAAGATTCAAAAAAATCTAGCAGTGTGAAATAAAAAACAAACTTTATAAATAGATTGAAATAATTACATGTTATTATTTTAATTAAGCATCGCGCACTTATGGTTTATCCCTAGTAAATTGTAGGCTTATGGTGCAGTCTTTCGTGCTGAATTTCAGGCCAGCCAATAAATCATTAGAAATGCACCACGTAGAACGCGGCATTTCTAATAATTTTCTAGCTCGCATGCAATTTATTACGCAAAAACGTACAATACACTGTAAGCTTTATCTAAAACATCGTGAACAGGCGTCTATAAAATACGCAATTCTATTTCAAGAACATTTATTTACGTAAAGAAAATTAGCACAAGAGACATTAAATAATCATTAATTATTTTTATGTTCTTATCATTCGCGTTTTTTCACACGAAGGAAGTTGAAGTTATTTGTTTTGACGAAATTTACGACTGAAGTTTAGATTGCAAAACATCATGGGAACGTATACGTATACACTGACGTAATCTCCAGAATATTTTATGTTAATTTTATTATTTGGTTTGATATTGTCAAAATATTCAATAATGGCATTTAAGTGGAACAAGACGTATACTATTGAACGTTGAAAAAAAAGATGAAAAAACAAGTTGAATACTTTCCGTTTGATTGTTTGCTCATTGAATTTTTAAAGTTTGAAAACTTGAAAAGTTAAGAGCTTGAAGACTTTGACAAAATATTATATACTGACGAACTAGTCTTAGATTCTTAGATCAGTGTATAGAAGAAAAACTAACACGACGTAGTTAATGATAAACATGATTACGCAAAATACACGGACTATCGTAGGAATAGAATTCTACATATCGAAATAGGCTAGAATATCCATTTTCTATGTAATATCGTCTTCGCACCCAAGTGCCAATTACATTAGCACCGAGATTATGTTCAATATCATCACATAAACTCAAGAAGCTTTATCTCCTTTGAGAAAAATCCTTTGAGACGCCTCGTATCGAATCCATTGACGTATACGACGTTAAGGCAAACAGGAAAAGTTCTTACCATAAATTTGGGGGAAAAAATGCATTAATATAAATACAAAACAAATGGTAATTTAGATTAAATATCAAAATATCGACTGGTCAAGGATGGCATAGAAACGACGCGCTAATGTATCGATCAGGTTTTTCCATGAACCTGCCGGCGCGCAAGATAAAAAAGACTCTACTCTTTAGCCGCAAAATCGTGCGGACGATCGAGCGCGATAAACCACCGGGGTTGCAGCTCGGGAAAATAAATAAGCCGTACAGTGTGTGTGTCGCGCTTCTGTGAACTTTTATTATCCTTCACGCTCGCGGCACATCAGGATCGCGTAAAAACTATAGTGGCTTTTTTCAGCCAAGAGAGACTATTGTCCAAGATATTAATGCTGAATTAATCTTTCTAATATTTCTTAATATAGCGACGAGACATCTCGTAAGGATCGAAGTGATGTGCTTCGTACGGTGTCCAGTCACGTTGCACTCGAAATAAAATGACAAGATAGAGGGAGAATTCTGTGCATAAGTAATTAACTTGAGATAAAAGTGTGAAATTTAAAAAATGACGGCAAGTAATGATGACGAGCAATTTCATAGATTCGTATTTATTACACGAGTGAACATTGAGGGAGACGTATCGGATAATTGATGACGACTCGTGTGAAAGAACGATCGGCAAAACGTGGAAAATGACATCGTGGGCGAGGCGAATCCGCGATGCGGTACCGGGCGCGCGCGACGAGGAGGCTGCTCCGCCCGGCTCAGGCGCGGTCGGCGGCACAGATTTATCATTTCGCTCTCTCATTTCCGCGCATATAACGAATCAGGCGGATAAATGATCGGAAGCTCGTTAGCTTAGCCGCGCCGCAACGTATCTCGTACGAGTGAGAGGGAGGGAAAGAAACAGACTGACGTCTCTCGCACAGCTTCGTCGGTCGATCTTTAAAGCGGACCACCCCGCTGTACTAAACGCACTGTCGGTCGCCTGCACAGGCTGCTTGGCCAGGCCGACTGGCTCGATTGGAAAAGGGTTGCGATCGAAGCGTTCGCCACGGGTCCGCAAATGCGAGAACCGGCGAGGAAAGAACAGCCGCGGCAGTTTTGCCTCGTAACGCGGAAACGACCTCGAGGAAGATGCCGAGGAAGCGACAGACAGGTAAATCAAGCGGATAGGTAGGCGCGGCCAGCGGCGCGGCCAGCGGCGCGGCGAACGGCTGCTTGTCGGCGGCCGAGCGTGCGGCTTTCCGCATCTCGTCGTTCCGCATGGCAAATCCGTGTCGTACTCACTTGTGCTGCGTGCATGGGCTTCCCGCCGTCTCGTGGTATCCGCGCCGTACACACCCGTATGCTGGCAGTATCCCTTTAACACAGAATCGCCGTTTTTCCGCGTTCTCGCCGCTGTTCAGCTAGCGCCCCTCGCACGCCAACCGAGTCCGCCATCTTCACTGAACTGCCAAACTGCATGAAACTGCCCTCTCGCAGGCCCTCTTGCCAACCGACGTTGCGCGTGCAGAAAACTCATGGCACACCGCGCATCCCGTGCAATCCTGTGAGCGAGCGTGCGATTCGTTGGGCGGTTTCCGGCCTTTTTCGTACGTGTAATCGGCTAGATTCCTCTTTTCCTTCGCTGAAAAGCGCGAACTCTAGTTTATATCGTGCGAGAAACGAAAAAAGAAATACGCGACTGTCGGAAAATATGCAGAAACTCATCGCTATCGTCTGTGTTGATCGTTGCGTTATATTATATGCTTTGCAGATTGAATAAATTGAAAAAAATAAGAAACTTATGAATATCCATTGCTCTTTCATGAAAAATTCTATAGCTACTATTATATCGTAATATTTACCTTTATTTAAGCAAATCTCTTTGACTTTTAGGATTCTTCTTTTTCATTCAGAATTCTCAATATTTGAAAGAAAATTAAGAATATTCCGCGCAGACATGAGATGTTACAAGAAATAATTATTAACAATTATCTCATTCGATTTAAAGTCCGTATTTGTAAGATGGAATTTCTGCTAAAATTAGATAAATACAGTTGCGAATACTAAGCTAAATCGACAAATACTCAAATATTTATCATAGAATGTTGACGCTTTCACTTAAGATTTTATAAATATCACTCCTACGCAAAACACCATTCTTGATTTTTCCGTCGACTGATTAAACTGGATTGACTTTTCGCTCCATTGAAGCTAAATAACATGTATTTGATTATCTAGAGCATGACGAATTTGCTTTGGAGACATCGAGTTCAACATTTTCAATCAATATAGGTTATCGTTAGCAAAGATGCTATTTTCATTCGTTATCGGTCATTGTCACATTGCGAAAAATTATACTACATTTCTATTTCTGCAATTAATTAATTACAATCAATTAAAACGACTTACCATCTTTCAGCAAATAAATTTCTTTTTTTTCACTCTTGTTTACTAAGATCTATTATCGTGATTTAGCCACCAATCGTGTTGGTGGTCAATCTAGGTAACTGAAACGTTTGTTATTCTTATCTACATCCGTAAAAAAAGAATAATTGCATTACCTGTAGAGTAGAGTTCGTCCTTACTTACAAATGATATGTCAGTTTACTGTAGTATATGATATTAAGTTGATATTTACATGCAGAAGGGAGCCTGATGTAAACCGCTGAAAAATACAACTGATTTTTTGGGAATTTAGTTTAAAGAAAGTATTGAACCAATCTTTACGAAATTTTTAGGATATTTTATTACACTATTAAAATAAATTAAAAAAAATTGTTCTTATTAAAAATAGTTATAAATAATGTTGTTATAAAACCTTATATCCAGCAACTTCCGTCCAGCAATATCTGTCGGCGAGAAAGTTCCGCGCCGTGCAATATAACGCCTGCTGTATTCATCTGAACCTAAAAGTCCAAAAATATTTCGTTAGTTTATGAGTGTACGCACATTATGAATCTATTTTCAAGTTAAAATATGCAAAATTGAAGGAATAGTGGCATTTTGAAAAAAACATTTTTTTTTAGAAAAATTTTGTCGAAAGAATTAATTATTTTAACAATATTGCAGTGAAAGTAGGTTCATGTTATCAAAAAAATGTTAACGAATATGTATATGCAAGGCCATGTTAGTCGCTTGAATATTTTTTGAGTTACATTGCAAAATGACTTGAAAAATGTAGTTCTCAGAAAAATGTGTTTAAAGTTTTCAGTACAAATAAGGAATACTGTTTGGAAACTTACAACAAACGGCTGTAGCCGCTTTAATTTTTCGAATTTTGTTCTGCGGTTTTGGGAGAATATTTTCGTTGTGTTACTATCGATTTATGAAAAAAAAATCGATTTTTTCGACCCAGTACACCCAGGCTCCCCCCTTAAATGAAGTGAACTAATTTATCTGATTTGGATCTAATTATAAAAATATTTAATATTTAAAATTACAAAATTACAATAAATAATTATCTTAATTTAATTTTTATCACAATATGTTAATATATTATTAACATTTACGCTTTCAAGTTGCAAATATCAACTGAACGTTTATTCATAAAGTATAATAATTTGTATCTACAAGTGGACAACATAATTAATATTTCTGAGCAATTCGTAATTTATGTGAAAAAATGTTACAAATTTTGCAATTCCATTGCAAAAAATTTAGCAATGAATGTACAAACTAAAGGTATACATTTTATTTTAAACAAAATTGTAACATCTTTTAATAATTCCAATAGTTTCTACACTGCATTATAATGAAATGCATTTGTTCTTAATTAATTATTTTAAGTTTTGCAGAATATTTAAAAATATTTTATTGAAACATATTCTAAATAATACGTATATGTGTCTAAAAGACGTTTCAGAAATGTGTAAAGAATGTTCTTATCTTATTTTTTAAACGTCTGAGATATCTTTTAAAGCTGTCGCCTTGGAATACATATTCAATACGTAATTCTGAAGGCTATAATTTTTTGTTGCCATCATATACGTAGAAGAAGAGTTAAAAAATAAACCTGCACTTCCGTTAGATTTCCAATAGCTTGTGATTCCGACTTTTGTGTTATTTTTTTATTGTTACAATTACATTGGTTTTTAGCAACTTTTTAACACAATGGTAATTTCAACACTTATTGTTTGTTTCAACATTCATCTCTTCCTTTATTTGAAAATTTTCAGTCACGCAGTTTTAGTAATTGATCATTCTTTATTTGCATTTAACTTAAATCATAACTTTCTCCTGTGGAAAACGACACGATATTTTGTCGTGTCAGAAGTCATTGCTCCGCTGTTTCATGAAAGTGGCAAAGTCCTCTCTATTAAATAGAAAGTATTCAAATTGGCACTATTTGTTTTATTTATAGAATCTTAAAACAACAAGACGGTGAAACACGAGATGTGTATAACAGTTCTATTCTGTCGCGAGGCAAGGAATATTTGCGCTGATTTGCTCGTAAATTTGTAAGCTAATGCAGATATAAATATCTTTTTGTTTTCCCACGAAGTAAAATAGTTATTTCTAAAAATGTAAAAAAATGCATGTAAAAATGGACGTTTCTAAATATTGAACAATGTAAATTTTATTTTTAATAATAAAAACTAAATAAAATTTATATTGAATACAATAAAGATTTCTTTAATAGTGTATTCAGAGCCTAAACAAAGTCTTGGAGCTCAATAACATAATGTTTGCTGTATCAAAATCAAATAAATACATACGTTTCAACCTTACGTTTAGATCATCTTCAGTGTAACATATAAAAATTAAACATTTAACAGAAAAATCGCAAGCTGCATCGAGATCAAATTAAACAAATTCACGCTTAAACATAACAAAAAACAGGAAACACGCATTTGTACATAATTGGATGAAATAGATACATCTTGTTGATTATGAAACCGATGTCAATCGTATAAAACTTCATTAATATCGTTGGTTTCATTAATATCGTCGTTTATTTTTAATCTTGTGTATCATCAGGGGTTCATTAAACATAAATTGACGTCAGTCGAGCACCGTCTTTAGAAAATGGTGGTGACTAAGCAAATTTCGTTCTTTTTTAACGAGATAATCAATTTGCTATTTTTGCAAGTGTAATTGCAAAAGCGGACAAAAGAATGTATTGCAGCGCACGGAAACGCTTACTAAGCGGAATAAAACTGTTCTGAATATGTACTGTAGACTATAGACTATTAACACATTTGTCTTTTTTTTCGTTTTTATGTTAATCATTTCAAGAAATAAATTTTCTGCTTTGAACTTATGTAACATGAAATATAAACGTGTCATATGCTAGCTTAAAGAATTTACTTTATTATTCACCTTAAATCAGACGCTTTTAACGTTTCAGCGAAATCATCAAACATGTGTACTATTCGTTGTATAAGCATCTTGAGATAGTAGTATCTCTTGAGGTAGAGTCTCTTAAAGTATAAGCATTCTAATGTGCGTATTCAAAATTATCCGGATTTGTATATATTCGTAATTACATATAGAAATATGAATTGAAGCGTCGGCGGGAACAACGTGACTCAAAATCAAGTATTAACCAGAAAGTAAAATGAATTTATATTAAAATGTTACTAATTAATTTATGTTATAATATGTCTAAATTAAACGGAATTATAACTCTCAAGTTTTTGCATTATTTAAAATCTAGTTATAATCGAGTTTCACATCAATATTCTCGCTACATTAAAATGAGAACGGAGAATGTTCGTAAAGAAATCCCAGGTAGCGCATGTTCGTTTCAGAAACGTTTCACAAATGTTTTTTCGAAACGTTTTATAACTGTTCTTAAAAACGTTTTTTGTTGATTAAAGTGTCAATCCGAAAAACGTACATATATGAATGTATTATTGTATATATATATATATATATATATATACAGGGTGTCCCATTCTAACTTAGACAACGTGATATCTCGAAAACAAAATGCGTTATCAAAAAAAATTTTTCGAATAAAAGTTGTAGGGTTTAGAAAAAGAAAAAGATAAGGATATTAGTTTGATCTTGGGTGAAGGTGCTTCGGAGATTTGAAAGTCATGTTTTCATTTTTTTATATAAATCGATTCCTCGTAATATTTATCGTAAAAAGTTATAAGCGTAGGATGGTAAAAAATTAAATAGCTTACGAGATATTTTATGCTTTAATTTGACATAATTTTACATAGATTATAAAATATTTCTGGAATATCTCGTTAAATATGTATTTTTCAATTATCTTACTTCAACACTTTTATGCACAAAGTAATGAAAGGAATCAATTGGTGTAAAAAAAACACATAGTTATCTTTAAAAAAAATATGATATGATATCATTTGAGCTACGTATTTTTTCTTCAAGACAACTATGTATTTTTTTAATAACAAATAAAATTGACGATTAAAAAACATTAGATACATATAAAAAACGTACATGAAACAAGCATGTGCTACCTGGGAATGTAAATGAAATTTGCCAAGAACAGCATATTACTTCAGGTTTAACTGCTGAGCAAATTTTTTCCATCTTACTTGTTTTGTAAGGAAATATGTTGCTTTCTTGCACATGCGCAATGCAATGGCAACAAATTACAGAGATGTAGTTACTACGAAAATTGAGGAATTTCAAATCGCATTAAAGAGATTAAATAAATAGATTAATAATCGTTAACTATTATTGTATTTATTATTTGCATAATTATTATTATTTGCAATGTGCATTCCAATATTGTAAAACAGACTATTACAGATAAAATACTTTTACTTTTAGATCATTTTAAAAGAAATTGTTCGGTGTCTTGTGAATGGGGCATTCTTTTTCAAGAGTTTTATACTTTACTGGGACAGCGCGTTCAGAGCGCGCATGCTCAAAGAGAGTGACTGTCAGTCAACACTGCTGGCTATCCGTATCTCATTCAGCGCAATACCATCGTAGCCGTTCGTAGTATGAACTTCGTACTGTTACGCGATAATTAGCTTCCGTGTTCGTGCTATACGGTACTGATTTTTTTCTTTTCAGTTGGCGAATCACTTTGAACTGTGGAAGATTGTTAGTCTAGCATCACGCGACGAATCAAGCGTCGAAGATAAGATAAACAATGGCATCGCATGTAACAGATTTCTACAACAGTAAGAATATATTTATTACCGGCGGTACTGGTTTCGTCGGAGTCTGCTTGATAGAGAAACTCTTGAGATGCTGCTCTGAGGTCAGGAATATTTACCTGCTAATACGTCCGAAGAAGGGAAAGTCAATCGCGGATAGATTGGACGAATTGACGAAGAATTCGGTGAGCAGTGAATCGAGACTGTAATATGATTACGCTCGTGTTATGTGATTTCTTATGTTGTGATCTTTATTTTTAACAGGTTTTTAATCGACTGAAAGAGGAGAACCAAACTGATTTATTTAAGAAGCTGATTGCAGTTGCCGGCGATGTCGGCGAAGAGAATTTAGGACTGTCCTCACAAGACCGAACAACCTTGATAAATACGGTACAAGTGGTTTTTCATTCAGCCGCTACCTTGGATTTTGAAGCTGACTTGAAGTCTACGACGAGTATCAATTTATTGGGAACTCGCAGAATTGTTCAACTCTGTCAGGAAATCAAAGATCTCAAGGTAAATTAATAGTTTGTGAAATTTTGCAATTGCAATTTGAATTTATTTATCTTGATCTTACAGTTTTTATGTTTGTTGTTTAGGTACTGGTGCATGTCTCTAGTGCATATGTTAATTCAATATTGCAAAATGTTGACGAGATAGTATATCCTGCACCAGCCGATGTAAACACGGTTCTACAACTGGTCGATACATTGAGCGTTGATGCCTTAAATGCAAAAACACCAGAGATATTAAAAGACCATGCAAATCCTTACACGTTCACCAAACATTTGGCTGAGCATGAAGTAGCTAATGGAGGATTTCCAGCGACTATTGTGCGTCCTTCGATGAGTAAGTACAAGCTTGTTTATTCAATAGCTATATTAACAGATGTATTATCACTATATGCTACAATTACTTTGAACTTAATTTTATAGTCATAGGAGCATGGAAAGAACCGATTCCAGGATGGACAATATCAAAAAATGGGCCGCAAGGATTCTTAATGGGTGCTAGTAAGGGTGTTGTGAGAAGATTGCCAATTGCAAAAAGTCTTATTTACGATTACATTCCAGTAGACATAGTGGTGAACAGCCTTATTGTCTCCGCTTATAACGTTGATCGCGATAGGTAAATCTGAAAAAGTTTTATATATGTTTTGCTTTATAAATTGCACATGCTTTCTTTTAATTTTAATATTTAAATTTTCTAAAATAATTTGCAATTTTTAGCGACAAGGGATTGAAAGTCTACCACTGCACATCAAGCACTTGCAATGCTTTTAGTTGGGAGAAAGTGGAACATGAAGTTAATACTTATTTACACAAGTATCCATTACGAAGTGCCGTTTGGTATCCGTATCTCAAGTTTTTACCATCGCTCTTCTTGTTTAAACTTTCAGCCATCTTTGTTCACTTTATTCCTGCTTATATTTTGGACACAATTACACGATTATGCGGAGGTCGACCGATGTAAGTCTTAGTGTCTCGCATAAAATATATCTTAATTTCTTATAAAATTCTCTATAATTGAATCTATTTTTTCAGTCTCGTCCGTTTGCACACAAATGTCAACAAATCGTTAGACCGTCTTGAGAAATTTATATTTCAAGAATGGAAGTTTAATAATCCACGCCTACTGCAATTGCATGAATCATTATCCCAGGATGATCAAAAATTGTTTACGTTAGATATTAGACCACTAGTCTGGAAAGATTATCTTCTTGACTTGGTACAAGGTGTCAGGACGTATCTGAATAAGGAATCCCCAAAATCTTTGCCAAAAGCACGTTCTAAGGACAAAATGTAAGTACATATGGTCAAATATATTATTTTTCTTAGTATTAAAATTGACTACTGATATACATTTGCGTTTATACTTACAGATTGCTGGTCGCTCATCTGGGTTTGCAAGCTGCTTTGTTCAGTTTGTTCTGGTGGTTGGTCAAAGTATTATTCGCTACGACATGGACGAAAGCGAGTTTGGCTGTACCAATAACATACTTGCTTTTTGATCAACTGTAAATGTAATGCTGTATTGCAGTATGATTTATCAGTATACACACAGCATGTTTTTGTATACCTAAAGCAATATTAGTAAAAAGTAATACTATATAAAATTTATTTCATACACAGGGATTTATACATGCATTTAAAATGTCATCACATTTGTTTTGTCATCAGATTGCTTTTATTATGTATTCTTATACGAACACTTTTTAATTATAAATATTTAAGCATTTTTGTAATTTTTGTAATTTGTGCTAAGAAATTGGGTGTAAAATATGACGAGAATATGTAGAGTATTTATAATATAATAGAATTGGCATTTTGCGGTATTGTAATGACTGTGTAATATTATTGATTTACAGCTTTTTGTCTTACTATCTAAAAACGTCTATTTACTTATATGTGTGTGTAATACTGATAATTTTGATAACACGAAGAGACTACATGTTTAAAGAACAAAAATATTTCAATTTCAAAAGAATCATTCAATTAATTTTAACAGGAGAATGTTTCGAATTAGTTTATCTTAAATCAAAAGTGAATACTTGGTGTCCACATATTCCAATTTCTGTAAATATTGAAGATTGACTTGGATAAAAATACGGAAAATATTGTTTGAAAAAATATTTAAATAATGAAATAAAAGTTAATTAAACTTATATATATCGATATGGCGTGGATTCTTCGTATTACTCTTTTGATCTTTGTCAAAAATATTATTTGTTAATTGTATCTTGGCTACTATTCATACAAGTTATTATTAAATTTGTAAACTTTTTAATGCAGTGGGCAATGGGTGTAGGTAATAATCGAAAGGTCGTTTGCTATTATAAGTATTTCAAATATTACAGTAGTATTTATCACATTTTATAAACAAATATATACATATATTTTTTACGTTATATAAATAAGTTAATAAAAATGTAATAATTGCAACTCCACCTGACTCCATTATATTACAATTGCATAATTTTTTGTAAATTATGATACATATATAGTACGTATCAAGTTTTTCATTAAACGTTATCACATAATAGTATTTATATAATTAAAAATTTATAGCTAAGAAGCAAGATTAGTTGAACACATAAATATCTCAATTCTGTTTGAATTATGGGGCAGTTAAATGGAGAAATTGATTTTTTAAAATTATATATTTGCTTTTTATTAATTGCTTGATAAAAATAATTACATGTCTTAAATTTATTTGTTCCGTTCTTCATCGTCTCGGGTAAAATCATAAAGAACAAAATATCTTCAAATAAATTAAAAGTAATTATACAGGGTGTTTTATAATGTCCGTGCCAACGCTCGTGCGCGGGTAAAGTGCGGTAAACTGAATAGAAAAGTCCTGTACCGTTTTGCAATTTTCGCAATAATAATTGAGATATTAATTAAAAAGGGTTGACGAATAATCGCGCGTTGCACGCGGCACCGTGGGCTGTACATTCTAGGCGTGACAGGAACGAGGACGGCAACGAAAAATAACAACGCGTGTTACTCCTGCTCTCGCCATGCGTTGTTATTTTTCGTTGCCGTGCGATCCTCGTTGCTGTCACGCCTAGAATGTACAGCTTACGGTGTAGCCGCGTGCAACGCGCGATTATTCTCGTCAATCCTTTTTAATTAATATTTCAATTATTATTGCGAAAATTGCAAAACGGTACAGGACTTTCCTATTCAGTTTACCGCATTCTATCCGCACACGAGCGTTGGCACGGACATTATGAAACACCCTGTATACTTAATATAGTCTACAATATGCATTTCTTATAAACTTTATATATCTTATACACCTTGTAAACCTTAAAATAAAATAATCAACATTGGTTTTAAGAACTCTATGGAACAGTTTAAATAACTGAAGCAACCTAACAGTCGAAGAAACCTTAAAATACAATTAATAACCAGAACTCTAGTATAGTTTAAAAAATCGAGGCAACTAAATAGTGGGGAAAAAAATCTTATAAATCTTATAAACTTCTTATAAACCTTAAAATAAAATGAATACAATACTTTCATACCGATACATACAAGATAATTATGACAGTCTCCACTCAGATGGATGCCTAAATATTCTATTCTTTTTACAAGAACTTGGCACACTCCGATAGATATTTTATATCACGAGATCCTCGTGACGAGAATTCCACAAGGAAGAACGACGCGAAGAGCTTGATTGGCAACGCTAGATTGGTGCAATACCACGTTGCTTGATACCACGTGTAATACGTCACTATTCAATCACATTCAATTACTACTTATTGTTAGCCGCTAAAGGCCAGCGTATATAAAAAAAATTTTAGTCGTAAACGTAAAGTGTAAGTAAATCAACCAATTACAGTGAGCAGTAATGACTCGCATGAAGTGCGTATGAAGTGAATGTAGAATTTCAATTTTTCCACGCGACTTGCTATCTGGCTTATTAATTAAATTTAATTGTTTATAACTTTGACGTACAGTTTCACTACAATTTCCGTACATATTTTCGTATTAAAATTTTTGATTATTATAATTAGAATACGTGCTATTAAAATGATTTATTTGATATTTATATTTTTAGAGAGATAGCAGAGTACGACAAAACATGTACGAGAGCGCGCATGGTGTGTTTATTGAAATAAAAATACGACAGCTTTAAAAGTTATTGATTTTATCATTAATATGTGGTAAAAAACAGCATTTACAAATTTATGCAAAAATCAACGTAAATTTGCATAACTAAATAGCAAATTTTGAAAAGTATTCCAGAAATATATATATTATGTATCTGCATTAACAATTAAATTTTTTAATTATTTTAATTTTTTTAATCGTTTCGACATTTAAAATTAGGCATATTTAACTAACAATATTATTTTAGAAATTTACATTTAAATTGTGATTCCATCAAATGCAAAGCATTTAAAATATCAATAATTCATGATAAACAGTTTTTTTATTCAGAATATGTGTGTGTTACGAATCACAATTAAATCATATATTATGACAATTTTCGCAATCAGTTGTAAACTTTGCATTTTTATCGCATTTTTTTAAATTTTTGTTTATATGAATGAACATATTATTTCTATCACTACATTAAATTATAGACAAGCAAGAGAGATACATATATAAATAAGAATATATAAATAAGAATATATAAATATAATAAAAAAAGGAAATTTAAATATTTAAACAAATGCTCGCGCGTAATCGCTGACATACGTTGATACAAAATTTAAAAATAAATTCACTAATATAAATTTATTTTTTATCTGATAAAAAATAATATGTAAATTTATCAAAACAGATACGTAAATCATTTTAAATTATGATGGCTGAAAGACAAATTCGATGTCTAGCATTGGTGACTCTTGTCTTTTACTCTTTTTTCTTCTTCTAGAAAACAAAGGGATTCTGTAGGGATCTAATGTACATTGAAAGCATTAGTTTTTAAGTCTTTTTTAAGTTTCTCACTGCAGTGTGGGATTATATGACGTCAAAGCACTAAACAAATTTTTTTTCTCATACTTATAGATCGAGATAAGTAACAATTCACGCAAATCTTTTTTCCGAATCTGAAGAAACGTACAGCATTGAATGAAAATCAGTTTGATATTATTCTACGCGAAACCGGATGTATCTTAGGTACAAGTTTAACATTCAAGTTTATAAAATAAAAAAAAATGCCCTTTATAGCAGAAATCGTAAAGCTGGTTCCAATAAACCGTCTGCTACTGGCATGCTGCAAGGTCGCAGAATCATGGGGAAAGCCCGAAGTGGTTCGTTGTTCCTTTTATCCGCCTGTGGCGAATAGCGATGTCATGAATCTTGATTCGAATTGAACCCGCTTCCTCACGTGAACGAAATAAATATGCGACCGCGTGTGCTGCGATGAATGCAAACGACTCAGTGTAAGGAATCCTCGCGAAATATATGGAAATTTATAAAATATAAAATTTCAACGAGAACGAAATTGCGGCACGAGTCGTGATCGAGAAGGACGACCGTGTTCGGTTCCATCGCTACTGCACGCGGGGAAGCAAAAGAGGGAATGCGAGACCCTGAGAATTCACCACAGCCCTCGAGCCTTTGCCTACCGGATTGCTGTACAGTACAACCTGTATTGAACGAAAGCGCAATTAAGAAAGGCTCAGAAATGACCGTGCGGTCAGCCGTGTAGCAGGGATAAAGCCGTGATCGTTGTTGCATCTACAGTCAGTCCGTTCGAACAGTCCACACGATATGAAACGATAAGACGAAAATCCCTCCAAGTGACTTTTCATCATTCCGATAGTTGAATTTTGCGCTGTCTTGAAAGCTCACGCGAATCGTTGCATCTCCTATTCAGCCCCGTCGAGATAAGCTCTGCTCGGATTTAAAAAAAAATACGTTTAGTTTAGTAAGTATAATTTTTCTTGTGATATCAAGACCTGAGTTAACCAGATAAGAGTTTCAGCACCACGTTTCTTTCTCTTCTCTTTATTCTATTTTATATCAATTACGTTTTTTATTTCATTTTATAACAATAATTATAAGAAGAATTAAAACATTATAAGCAGCATGTAGTGTATCATATTTGCGCGTACACCGTGGTCGGCGCGCATTGTGGTTTTCATGGTATGAAAACAAATAAAACAAAACTGTGTCGACCGCGATTTTTAGCTATTCAATAAAACAAGGGAGAAAGGAAGGCGACATGGGAGTTTGCGACATTATTATTGCCATATGAAACAAGCTGATGTTATTATTGCCGATGAAACAAGCTATACTTGTTAGAGCTAGTCCACTAAACGTTTTGCTTCAAAATTCGGATCCTCTTCGATGATTCCAAACATAATATAAAAATGTTTTACAAAAGTGGAAGGCTTTGAATTAAAATGACAAACGAGCACAGCAGCAAAAGAACAAGTCAGATTTTTATAGAATATTTTTTTCTTTTTCTAACAATTTATTTGCATTTTTCAGGTTTCTCGAAGATGACCTCGAAGCTCTTATCGATATCCGACTGGTTTGCAAATAAAAATGTTCTCATTACCGGAGGTACTGGATTTATGGGCAAGATCTTAATTTTCAAATTACTTCTGAGCTGCCCCGACATCGGCGATATCTTTTTACTGATCAGAAAGAAGAAGGGCGTCGATTCGCAAACGAGGTTGCATCTCATACTGCAGGTATTGCAATAAGCTTGAGTTTTATATATTTGACGGAAGGAAATGAGAATGCATAACAAGAAATGACTATTTTGAGCTAAGTGAAGAGAATTATGCTCTTAGGGATTATTAATTCTTTCATTGCAAATGTGTGTGATGATTATAGGCGTTCAACGCATGCCTCTCGTGTCCGAACATCGCCTCAAGGTAACTTACATGTCGCTCGCAATGTACAGTCAAGTGCACTTAATGGTATCCGGTGCGTTTCAACACTCAACATCGGTTTTAAATTTCTCTCTAACATTTTAAGATCCTTCCTTTCCGCTTACGTAAATAATTAATTAGTTTTTGTTTCTCTAAACAACTTAAAATTTCGCAAAGAAAAAATGGTCGTTTTGCGTAGTATTTTTATAAATAGAGACGCACTAAGAATGCCAAATTAATTTTATTAATGTGTGTTTAAATATACGAATATGGAGTTGCAAATCAGTTTCGTTTCTCTAAACATTTTTTTTAAATTCGAGATTTACATACATCGCAACTTTGTGTCAAGAATTACACTTTTCATTCAAATGTCACTCTGTGACAAGCTATAAATACTGTTTGAGTTCTATTAGTGAAAAAGCTTAAAAATTGATATCTATTTTGAATTAAATATAAAACACGATTTATGATTAATTCGTGATTAATTACGGCAAAATAAATTTAAGAATATGTATCGCAAAGTAAAAAATTGTTAAACTTTAAACATATCGCGCGTTTATTCCGAATGCATGTGTCAAGTATTAAAGTATTTACAATACATTTTTTTCATAACACTATTGCAAACAAGATTAATTAATTTTATTAATCAAAAATTTGAAAAAAGCGAATAAGCGATAAATGCAAACTAGTTTATTTGAGTAAGTATTACAATGCGCACGATGCAATCGTGCGTATATAAGTATGACTCAATCAAAGAATAATTTTATCGATTATCGAAGGAGATTGTAATCAAGTAAACTTTGTGCGTGCATCCTATTATTGTCATTCTATTCCATTATTCATCTATTATTTTTTCGATGAAAATTATATATATAAGAAATTAAGCTCGATTTGAATTAACCGCGACAAATTGTTATTATCAACTGCTTGTAACCAATTGAAAGCTTTTAATCAGCAAATATCAGACATTTCTGTAAGTAAGAAACAGAAATTCTGACGTTGTAAAAATAGATATGATTTGCACTTGTATAAGTGCACGGTATAAATTGCTTATTTGCGTCAAATTAAGTAAAAATGTCTTTTCGCAAATTTACACGTGTCTCCCGAGGCGAATCATAGAACAGGCCGCATTATGATTTCCTTAACAAATGCGCTATCGTTAAAATATTCGACGATGAAGCAATGTGCAACACGTAATATACCTTTCCTAACACGTCGTGATTATAATTTTCTTGAAAGCGGAGATTTATTGTAATTCTAATTCCTCTCTTCGCGCGTATTGTAACTTTCATAACGATTCTTTAATGAGGATTCGCTAAACATTGCAAAACTCCGTATACGCGACATCGAGAGAGAGAGAGAGAACGCGACCTCTTCTGCAAACTTTAATGGACCCGCTCTTTACGGACAATAACGAAAGGCATTAACATTACTAGCGTACGTGTGGTAATCGATGAATATTACACGCTCGCCATCGCGTACTTTTAGTTTTTAATATTGCGCAAAAAAGCGAGTGTAACTTAATACATCCAGAGGCTAACTTTTTTTTCCAAATCTTGTGCAAGTGACTTATAAGTATATAAAAAAGAATTGCATGTTTTTTTATTTGTATCCTTTAATTTGAGTCGCCAAACATCGTGATATATTGATTTTTATAAGAGTTATCACTTTTTAAATTTAACGTATAAACACATCAGTAGCATATCAAGTAGACCAAGAATAGTAAAAGAATTAAACTTTGCGATAGACGTCTTGTATTTATCTCTGATTCGTCTTATTTATCTCTATCGTCTGTAATATGAACGTCCTTCGTTAAAGTTCAATAAAAGTTGAAATAAATCGAACAAAACGCGCGTTAGTGTTTCACGGAAATAGAAGAAAGGCATAATCTCAATACATAATTATACTATAAATAACACCCGGTAGACGAATTGAATCATCGTAAATTACCTTGACACCGATCGCATCATCAGAAATTTTCGAATTACTTCATCGTCTCTGACAGACTTTCATCGAAGTGTAAAGGAGTTTAGTAAGAACTCTTATCCTTGAAACCTAATGAGCGCAGGCACGCAAAATTGAATATTTCTGATGTCTCATTGTAATTCGTCTCGAGTACCGGCGTTTAAAAATTGTAGTAAAATTAAGTAACAGCACTTCACTGTTTGCATTATCGATGTGAATAGAAAGACCAACAGAGCGGAACTGTGTTAGACGGTTATTACTGTCAGTATTACTTGTATTAGTGAGATACGAGTCTTGAGTGCAAGCAGATTTACATATAAATGCAGTAAAAGTAAACAAACAACAAACATTACAAATTGTTAAGTATTTAATATTGCTGTTCTATTCGTGTCAATTTCGCTCAAAATAGATTCTATTTTCTTGCTGCAGAATTATTTAAAGTTTATCTCCTTGGCTTTCATGACTTTTGTTAGTGTAAGATCTTTTTTACATAAAGTAACATTTAAATATTAAATTGTAAATTAAATTAAGCTGAGCTTCGATTCCCGTAATTGCTGTAAATATTCCTTACTTGTCTACACCGATTGCATTAATTTCGAAACTGATTTGCTTAATGACGATTGTACTTGCAGCAAGAGCCATTTAGAATTCTCAGAGAACAACACCCAGAACGACTGAAGAAACTGATAGTGATAGTCGGTGATACAACCGTGGAGGGACTCTCACTGTCTACCGCGGACAACAAACGCGTCACAAGCCGAGTTTCTGTCATTTTTCACATGGCAGCTAATGTCAAATTCGATCTGTCACTGAAAACCGCTGTCAAAGAAAACACTGTAGGCACTGTTAATGTAGTCACACTAGCGAAACAGGTAAATAATCGCGATATAAATTTAAACTTTTAATATAATTTTCTAAATAAAATTCTTATCGTTATTTTCTTAAAAATGTAACAATAATTATTAGTTCACATGTGATTGACTTATTATTGAGAGTCTTGTTTTATAGATTTAATTAAATGTTATTGCTGTTACAAATATATTTTTAGATTATATACATCTAATTTTGATAAAACATATAATTAGACTTTTCCAAAAATTTTTATTGTTAGATATTTACTTATTTATGTCTGTTTCACATATATAAGTTAATAATAAATTTTTAGATAATGAATTTTGTCAATAAAATATTTATTAATTATTAATTATTATAAAGAGCTTTACTCGAACATATAGTAAAATATAGTAAAATAAATTGTGTTTTTTAGATGCCTCTGTTGGAATCATTTATTCACATTTCAACATCTTTTTGTCAATGCGGAGAATCGGTATTGGAAGAACGTACTTATCGAACTAGCATCTCACCAGAAAATGTTATTCATATGGTCAATACAATGTCGGAACAAGAATTGGAGTTAATAAAACCACAATTGTTGCGCGATCAACCGAACACATATGCCTACAGTAAGGCACTCAGTGAAGACTTTGTGTCGAGATGTGGCCTACCTGTAGGCGTCATTCGTCCATCGATAGGTAAGAACTCTTTCTTTAAATATAAAATTTGTTACTAGTAACATTTTATTAAAAAAAATAATTAAACATGCAGATTAATGTTACAATAACGTTTTAAATTACATAAATTACAAGAAAAAAACATTTTATCGATTTTCTAATTTCATGTTTTGAATTGAAAATAAAAAACTTTAAATAAAATAATTTAACTTTATATTTTTTATAAATCAATCATGTTTTGGTTGCACTACTAATAAGCTTATATATTACAATATACATTATATAATAATATTATCTAATATTATCAATGATATCACTAACAATCTGTTTGTTTTCAGTGGCAGCATGTTGGAAAGAACCGGTGCCTGGCTGGGTGGACAACATGAATGGCCCGACTGGATTAATGATTGGTGCCGGAAAGGGAGTCATACGATCTATGCTCTGCAATGCCGATTACTTGACCGATTTAGTACCTTGCGACATGGCTGTAAACGCAACGATTGTTCTGTCATGGCAAGTCGGATCGGAGAAGTCCGCCAAACCGTTGTTCTTAAACGCCACGGCAAATCACGAGAATCAAATTAGCTGGGGTGATGCTTTAGAAATTGGAAAGAAACACGTGATTGCAAATCCCTTCTCACGTAAGAAATTCCTTTTTCCCAACTCTTCTATAAAAATATGTAACATGCATATAAGTTTTTAACGTTTGTAATTGTTTTTTTTTTAGAACCGCTTTGGTATCCTGGTGGAAGAATAACTTCTTCAAAGATTCTACATTGGCTTGCCATCATATTGATGCATATCATACCCGCTTATCTATTAGATACTCTACTTATTCTCACCGGGAACAAGCCTTTCCTGGTGCGAGTGCAAGGTAGAGTGAGCACCGGATTAGAATTGCTTCAATACTATACCATGAAGCAATGGGTCTTCCGGTGAGAAGTAGAATTCATTAAAATATATTAATAATTATTAAGCGACTCGATAACCTTTTGTATTTCGTTAACGTATAAATTTGAATTTATTAAAATAACACAGAGTCAAGTGATTTAACAATTCGCTTTGCAGCAACGACAACCTGTTGGACTTGCAACATCGACTATGCCCGTCGGATAGAAAAACATTCTTCATGGATACGAAGTTTCTCTGTTGGAATGATTATTTGTTGGCGTATATTTTAGGTGCACGACAATACTGTTTAAAAGAAGATCCTTCAACGCTGCCTCGCGCGAGAAAGGTCTTCATGTATCTATACTTCGCTGATTGCTTGCTCAAAATAATGCTTGGCATTTTTGTTGTCTGGGTAATGTACACCTGGATGATCTCCGCCAAGTCCGTTATGACGCTAGTCGAAACGAGTGAACAAATGTAAAAAATTAATTAGTAGATTAAGTGTACTTACTACATGATAAGTGCCCATGCGTAGAAATTTCTAAAAATTTTTACGTAAGTATATACTATTTTTTTATGATTGTATCGAACTGTAATTGTATATATTTATACAGAAAGAAGTAAATTTTTGAATCTTTAATCTTTATTGCAAAATGTTGCTAGATATTTCGTATAAATTGACAGAAGCCGATTTTCAGAAGGTGTTTAATTCAACATGACTGCGGAATAGATTTTTATTTCTAATGTTGTTTAAAATTTATGTTTGAAGTTAGTTTCTTTTTGTATAACTATTTTCGATTGAACTTATATCTTACGCTAATAACGTTAGGTAAATAACGTCGATTATGTACTAATGTATAATTTATCAATCAACGAACGTGCCAATATTTACGATTTCTATTATATTTTACGTACTATAATAACATCGTAATACCATATTAACAAAAACTAAAGACTACTAAGTAAGATGCTTTGATGTTTCACTCATTTTACACTCTTTCATATATACAGCTTGATACAAACTCGCTGAAACGTTTCGAATCAAACGCACCTTGAATGAATAATATCCGACTGCAGCAATTTATTTTTCTGCACTTAAGTAAGCGCTGTTTCAAAACTATTTGGGGAAAGTAGTCCATTTTTCCTTCTCGTCTGATTGATGCTCGTTATTAAAATTACTCGGGCGTAAGACAAAAATTAGACAGTAACCTGTAACAATGTAATGAAGATTTAATGAGCCTCATGGTACAGATACCGAGATACTTTCTCCAAGTTGAAACAAGTATTAGTAAAGAAAAGTGCGTGTACTTCGGGCATCTGATTTACATCGATCTAAATACATTTTTTTCAATATAGGTAATAACTCCAACAATACGTATACTGTGTATCTTAGTTGTACGATCTTTGTACTGGATATTTTACACTTTTTTCATCTTCATGTGAAATAAAAAAAATGATAATAATATCAAAAGATGCTGATTTTATTTTACGAGCCTAATCCTTATATTGAATTCTCTTATATTGATTTAAATGTCGAGAGATTTTATTTCCTTTGCAATTAACGATAAATGGAGCTGAAATATCCAAGGCAATCCTTTATTTATTCTCTTTTCTCTCGCGATCCTTCAAACTTCCATTCTCCTTTTCTTTCTTTTATCTCTCGCAATAGTTTCGAAAGCGTTGGAAAACTAAAATTTCTAATTAAACAAAGAACAAGTTCTTGCGCAATTTACGCAATTTTATAAAAACAGTTTATTCGTAGACTACGATAAACATGGTTTTCATTTGCACACAATGCAAAAAGCCACCTTTGATAAAATTTGTCAGCTCGTATTAAACATGATAGTTCGTAGTAAACATGATTTCAAGGCAGCATTTCAAGGCACACAAGTCTAACATAATCAATTTGTATTTTGCATACATATTTGCATAAAAAAAAATAGTATACGGGTTATAAAATAAATAGGTAGTATTTTTTTTACAAATGACACGATTGCTCATAAAGAAACTTTCATCATAATCCACGTGTGTCTATTTAAACGCAAGTTGTTTAGCAAGAAAAAAAAAACAGAATGAGAGTGAGAGAGAGAGAAAGAGAGAAGAAAACGATGTAGATTACGAAAGTTAGTCTATCGTGTGTTTGAATATCATTATAAAAGTTCATCCGCACAGTAACACCTTTAAGTGTGATAAACAAAATGAGAAGAAAAATGAGTGACAAAAAGAGAAAGAGGGAGAAATTGTGTTAAATCATACTTTAGTAATGACATAATACATGAGAAGTCTTTTCTTCGCTGTAAACGTTTCTCGTTACATTGCAAAATCATGTGCGAAATTTAACTTGTCACTTCTCGTAACCTCGCGATTTTCATCTGCTTCTCGTCGGAACTCTCTCTTCTTCCGCGCATGTGAGTTAGAATTTCCAGGAAAAAAATTAATTAATTCTGGTTAATTCCAACATTTAATGTTATTTATTGTTTTGTTTGATAGGATGATAGAAACAATATGTCTTACGTATGCAAAATATATGTAAAAACAGCGACTTATTTTTTACTTAATAACTGCGTCATAATTACAATAGATTGCAAATATTGATACATATATAATAACACTTTATCATCTGCTATTTGCATGAAAAAATGCAAGGTTACTTTATTAATCATTCTAAGAAATAAATTATTGTATTATTAAAGTCATGATTTAAACAAATCGCTTTTTCTGTTTAAGAATAATTATACATCTATCAAGCTTGGTCAAGAAAATATTTTATTGCAGAATTTAAGAAAAAATAATTTTTTAATTTTTAAATGTTTAGAATTTTAAAAATAAACTCTTAAAAATTTTTTAAAATATAAAAAAATAATAGGCAGGAGTGAATTGACAGCGATCGGAAATTAAAAATGTAATGATAAGAAGAAGGATGCATCTAGCTGCGAATAATTGCAGCTCTTATCTGGTAGCCGCAACAATCAAGCGATAATATCTGGTAGAGTATTATTTATTAATAAGCTTACAAATATATAAGAAATTCGTTTTATTCAAATTTAAGTGAAGAACGTCAAAAAAAAAAGGAGAAAAAAGAGGCGTTACGTAAGATTAGAGACTCGTGTGCGATTCGCTATAAGAATAAATGCAAAGGCATCAGGTCGAATCGGCGGCTCATTTACTACTTTCCCAGTCGTCTACGACTCAGTCGTTTACCACTATTCCGACCGAGAGGCACGAGTCCGAGTAACACGAACCCAGACGGCTCCGCAGCACGTACTCACATCGCATTCGTTCCGTGTCCGCCGACCGTTTCAATTCTCGCGGTAAGTGTAACAAGTGTCACAATACATCGATCGATGACTTTTGGAGATTTCGATCTTTTCCATACGCTTTATTCAGATGCGTTTCGCGAATTCTTTCGATCGTGAAAATGTATGCGTGCTGTTCAAACGTGTGCATGTTACGCGCCGAAGCGTAACAAGTGAGAAATTGTCGCTAATTTAAAATTACTCCGAGCAAACTTGCTTGAGAGAAGAATTGAAGTTTTTTTTATGTAAACACTTGAACACTAAATTGTCGGGTGATGATAATCATCGTCGATTTGGTAAAAAATTTAGTTCTACGTTTAAAATAAAGCAAAAAGAAAGATACCGCTGAAAGATGCAAATGAATACAAACGTGATTTGGTGTCACGACATCGTATTATAATATCAAATATTTTATATTATTTATGCTGAAGAACAAAAAATTACAAACTGCATCAATTATTGAAACTGATTTTCTTACAGTGCACTTTTAGAAACGTATCAGAAAGTATCTGTTCGCGATAAGCAAAAGTATTTTAACTTTATACTGAGATGTTTTCAAATAGCAGAATGTTCAGCGATTTGTAGATTTAACTTTTATGACTTCTTTTAATAAAAATATTGATTTAAAAATAACTCAGTTGTTTTGCTTATTTTAATTTTAACGTTTACTGATGTTTTATTATTTGTGTGCAAATTTCCGAAATATCCTAAAATCTCATTAGTTAAAGACATGGAGAGTTAAATTTCTCAGTTTAGCCTCATTCTCAGAAATTATGAATACGTATTTTAATATGAGCATACAAAGATGACATAATAAGAAAATAGCGTAAAAGAAAAAAAAGAATAAAGAAGAAGAGATAAAAAGAATAGAAGATATCTAAGTGATCGAAAAAATGTTCAATATATCGCGAGTGATCAAGTATATTAATGACAGTAATAATAATTATTGCCGTTTTCGTGAAGTAAACAAATTAAGCACATGTTTTTTTTTAATCATCGTTATAATTATACATGTAATACGTAATTATGCCAAGCGTCATTATGCTTTGTTAAAATGCTGTACATTATTTTTCGAGAGAGCGATAAGTGATCATTTTGTGCACTTAATAAAGATAATTTTTTCATTCTAATTTGCAAGTTGTCGTTACTACTTACATTTTGCGTTTCAGAAAAACTTTTGAGAGATTGTTTTCTCGCTTACAATGGAGCAGAACAAGATCGATGACATACCGGACAGAGTAGCCGCAACTTTAGCTGGTCGGCGGATATTATTGACAGGTGGCACAGGATTTTTGGGAAAAGTGCTAATTGAAAAGTTTCTACGATGTCTACCGGACATAGGACATCTTTATGTGCTCATCAGATCGAAAAAGGGCCACGATCCCAAATATCGAATGCAAGAAATACTTAATTCCGCAGTAAGTTCTGATTGTTTGTTTTTTTTATATAAACAGATAGAGTAAGATAAAATAATTTGCTAATATTTCAAATAAACTGTTTCTTGTAAATGTAAAGAAATGAAATAGTTTACTTTTATTGGCGGAAAAATATAATATTTAATATTTTCTTCCGCTTTAGATAAAATTATTACAATGAAATTGATTTATTTATTTATTTATTATTATTTTTTTTTTTTCTTAGTTCATTGTAAATTCCATTAAGTTGTTTGTTATAAAGAATGTCATTTGATGATTTATATTACTAATGAGTAATGTTCTCAAAAAAACTAGCAGTATGAAATTAACATTTCTCGGAATATAATAGAATTGAATTGACGGAGTTGCAGTATATAAAGTTGAAAAAGAGATTGCAAAAAGAAAATTCTTTGTAAAAATACTGCATTGATTGTGCTATAAAAAAAAGTTTTGCTAACATTAAAAATTTGCGTACAGTAATTAAAAATCGTGACGCGATGCAACGTTATCTTCGTAAAATTGTATCGACAAAATTCGACGGTTGAAAGATCGTCGCGAAATTGTTCGCATCACCAAAATGTGTACCTCACTTTGTTGCATACTGAAGTTTCATTTGTCATCTCCGCGCTCTCAACAAGAGCAGTAAAAAGAGAAAGCGCATAACTATGGCTTTGCTACTGCGATACAAGTTACATCATCGGTGCCATATGACGATAACGCATGGTGCAGCGCGCGAAGAGGTGCCGCTAGAGCAGACATTTACGCAGCGCGCTTTTTTCTCTCCTTTCGTGCGCTTCAAGTATTTCTCAGTCGAATTCGTCTGGACCGGTGAAAGCGCATTGGACATCCACGTTGCGATCCATTTACAAAATGTGACGAAAGAAACTGAGTCAAGGCCTCGTGCGTTGAAAATGTATAACGAGAGAGAACGGTGATTATCGGTATCGGTCTTACCAGTCTCTCTTGTGGTGAAAGTACGAATTGCGCGTTTCACAAACGCGTTATGTCACGTATTTCGAATTTTAACGCAATACCGTAAACATGCTTATACGTCAGATACACATACACGTGTGAGAGAAAAGACGTGGTTTAGGCATAGTTCAACCAGGATGCGGATTGTGATTTTCTCCGTTACGTTTTTGTCTCGTCCAAAAAAGTTCGCGATTACAAAAAACTTTTTTTACTATAAAACTTGGCGCGAGCTTCCTTCCGCGCTCTAATTAAAAGTAAGCAATTCCCAATTTGACAGTCACTCTCTCTGTTGTCACAATTTATTTCATATTAAAAGAGTAGACGCACATTGTAGAAACAATCCAAGTATGTTGCGGTAAATTGTAGGCAAAATAAGTGAATTAAAAAAAGTCTATTATATTATTATTTATATTATCTTTTTCGTGATGTGCTCAAAAGTTCAAGTTTTTTCATTCGATATTATACGCGTAATTTCTCGCAAATAATATTTAATAATAAAAAAGTACAAGGCTGAATTTACAATCTGCGAGCAATTAGAATCGTAGTAATAAAACTTTAATAGCTACCTTTGTGTGATTAGCATTTTTTACCTCTTATTATCAGATCAGTCGTTTTCCCGTTCTGTTTCATTTGCAAAGTAACGCAATACAATATATTTGCAAACATATTTCATTGATTAGTAACAAAGTAGTAATATATTCGTTTAAAATCAAACTTTCAGCTTTTCGAGAAGGTCAGGGCTCAAAGAGGATTGCCGGCGCTTGAGAAATCAGTGACGGTTGTTAGTGGAGATATGTCCGTGCTAGGGCTCGGATTATCCGCCGAAGATAGAAAGATGCTTTGCGAAAATGTCGAAATCGTGTATCATGGAGCAGCTACCGTCAGGTGAGGCAATATAGACGAGAAAAGATTTGTGTTATGTTGATCTAAAATTCAACATACTAACATCCTTTCGACGAGATTTGTTAAAAGATTTGTTGCAAATTTAAATATCAGTTTTTTTTTTATGAAAACATGCGGTTTCAACAATAATTATGCTATCATTTTATTTGGTATTAATATTTATAAATATCATTATTAATAATTTATATTGGTCGTCGAAGCATTTCAAAATCTCATTACATAATGCATTTTTTGCATATTGTAACTCTATGACTCACGTCACAAACTATAAATTTTCCATTCGATTATAATCGAATTGCAGATTCGACGAGCTGTTGAAGAAGGCTGTATTATTAAATACACGTGGCACAAAGCAAATGATAGAGCTGGCCAAAGAAATGAAGCATTTGGTTTTATTTGTTCATATAAGCACTGCCTACTGTCATCTCGAAGAAAAAGTGTGTACATTTACATGAAGAGCGTCTCTCTATATATTTATGTAAAAACAAAACCATTCAAAAAAAAGTTAACAGGAATAACTGGTTTCGCTAGGTTTTGGGCGAGAAAACGTATCCTCCGCCTGCGGATCCTCATCAGATAATCAAGTGCGTCGAATGGATGGATGATAATGTGGTCGAGGCCATGACGGACAAGATCTTGGGCAAACTACCCAATACTTATGCTTTCACGAAAGCCTTGTCGGAAGGCCTCGTTGAAGAATCTATGTCACATATACCATCGATAATTTTGAGGTATCAACGAGATTGTTCAAATTTGTATATATTTAACATAACTTTCTCATTTTCACTTCTTGCAATTTTTTTCTATTAAACATCTTCAGAATTAACACTCAAGTCGAATATCTTAACTGTTTAATGATTTAATTATTAATTATTTAATTATCAATTTCTGTAATCATAAAATTCACAGCACAGTTTTGCGATATCAGAAGTAGAAATAAACATTAGGACAAACGTTAAAAGCTTTCATTGATTTTCCGACTTAGGCCAAGCATAATTATTCCTATATGGAAGGAGCCGATTCCTGGTTGGACGGACAACATCAACGGACCTACAGGACTCTTAATCGGTGCTGGAAAGGGTGTGATCCGAACGATGTATTGTAACGAAACTAGTTACGCCGATTATGTACCTGTTGACATTGCCTGTAACGCTATTCTTCTCAGCACGTGGAATTTTCTTTATTTCAAGGAATACGACAAACGAGTTTATAATTTCACGAGTAGCACCGAGTTTAAGGTGTGTAGACTGTTATATAACTTTAACTGTAAGAATCAATACGGTATTTAATATGCGTCATCGTTCAACAATATTAAACTGAAATTTTCTTTGAAGATTTCCTGGGCGGAAATAATAGAACGCGGCCGAAAAATAATGCATCGGGTACCTCTAAACGGAATTGTGTGGTACCCGGGTGGTAGCATGAAGAAATCACGATTTTGGCACAATGTCTGTGTTCTGTTCTTTCACTTGATACCGGCCTACATCATCGACATACTACTTTTTCTGCTCGGTTATAAACCTGTGTAAGTTGACCCGCGCGAGACACAGAAATTGATACAAAAGTATAAAAAAAGATATATATTGTTTTAAATTTATATTTTATTTTTTACTTACAGCCTGTGTCGTGTACATCGCCGTATCATGAAAGGATTCGAAGTTCTTGAGTATTATGGCAATAATCAGTGGGATTTCGTTAACAATCACGTTTTGGACATAAGAAAGAAAATAAACGAAACAGAAAAGAGATTATATCAAGTGCATGGCGATGACATGGATATAGATGCATACTTCGAAGATTGCATTCGAGCTGCCAGAATTTATATTTTGAACGAACCCCCGGAAACTTTGCCGGCCGCTCGTCGACATTTAAGAGTGTAAGTTCGCGATCGCGTGTTTCGCGCGTACATCTAATTCAATAATGTTTTATTTTTTGCTTTTTCTTTTTGTCGCAGTATGTATTGGGTGGATGTATTTGCGAAGATCCTTTTCTTCGGGCTCATCATATACATGCTGGCATCCTGGTACGGAAGTTTGAGAACATTGTTCACAGACAATGCAATGCGCGCATAGGAGCATCGTAAGACTAGGATCGATAAGAGAAAATTCAAGCCAACTTCAAATTGATTATGAAAATCGCCGAAAGCGCGAAATTCCACATTTAGATTTATAAATCATATCTATCATTAAATAAATAAATCTTTTGTGTCTATGTATAAGTCCGTAACAAGCAGGGCTGGGCAAAATATATCATTAAGTATTTGAAATACAAATACAAAATACTGTCAATCTTAGTCAGAGCTGGACCAAATACATCATTAAGTATTTGAAATACAAAATATAAAATACTATCAATCTTCTATCAAATGCAAAATATAAAATACTATCAATACTTCTATCAATACTATCAATCTTCTTTCAAAATAGATTGATAGTATTTTGTATTTTGTATTTCAAATACTTTTTGCCCAGCCCTGGTAACAAGTATAATAACCATACACCAATCAATGACAATCAAATATTAAATAAGTGAGGTTAATCAATTTAGGGTAATTAAGTAATTAAAAATTGAAAAGTAAAAATCTAATTGCTTTTGGTATAATTTTATAATTTATGCAATTTGCATAATGCATTAATATAAACATAAATTAAACTCAATCCTTCATTATTTATTTACCTTCCAATATTTATTTCTTACCAATTAGTGCAGCAATCTTTCTTATCAACTTACGTTAACAACACGACCAATGATAATAAAATGTTTTATCGATAGTATTCAAATCTAAAATTCTAGAGAACGACGTGTATGTCGCTGCAGTTTACTTAAATGGCGAAATAAGTTAGGAATAGGGTAAACACTCGTGAACGCTGATCAATTGATTCGAATCGAATTGACGTATACGTGCGAAATATTGTAGTTGATTTAATATTCTATTAAAATGCCGATCCTGGATAAAAGAAAGGGGGATGATATATTGGCATTGGTTCCCGCTTCAAAGAGAACCAAGAATGAAGTTGTTTTCAGTAGCAGAGAGAAGGCGGTTGTGCAAAGCGTAAGTAATCTAGTTTCACATAACTTTTTTGATAGCATGTTAGAAATTTATATTTCTTCGGAAAAGTCACACTTGTGTACGTACGTAATGAAATTTTGTAGGGCCCACCGCGAACTTCCTCTCTAATGGCGATGATAATGTTGCTCGAGGGACACCAAGGAGATATTTTTTCTCTGGAGTTCCATCCGGAGGGGCAGTATCTCGCATCCACAGGATTCGACCGACAAATCTGTACGTTTTACACAACGAATTGAATTAGTGTTATTATTGGTTTTGCTTACACTCTAATAAAATTACGGTTTTCTTATAGTTATCTGGAATGTTTACGGAGAATGTGAGAACATTGGTGTCATGACTGGACATAGCGGTGCTGTGATGGAATTACACTTTAGCCCAGATGGCAATTACTTGTATACAGCTAGTACAGACATGACGCTGGGTTTGTGGGACATAGTAGCAGGAATAAGAATTAAGAAATTGAAGGGACATACTGCATTTGTAAATTCTGTATCGGGTGCGCGAAGAGGACCTACACTGCTTTGCTCAGGTAGCGACGATAGTACAATACGTATTTGGGATCCCAGAAAGCGACGTCCATGTTACACATTGAATAATACATATCAGGTACTATGAATTTTTTATTTCAACGATGTAAATAATAATAACTATAGAATATGTTTATATGCAATTTTGTGAATACAATTAGGTAACTGCGGTGACGTTCAATGATACAGCTGAACAAGTGATTAGTGGTGGTATTGACAATGATATTAAAGTATGGGACCTCCGAAAAAATGCGGTGCTTTACAAATTGAAAGGACACACGGATACCATTACCGGACTAAGTCTCAGCCCTGATGGATCGTACATTCTTTCCAATGCTATGGATAACACATTAAAGATATGGGATGTAAGGCCATTTGCGCCTTATGAACGCTGTGTGAAAATATTGTCTGGGCATCAACATAACTTTGAAAAGGTATCTTTTATTATAGATATTGATAAAGTAAAGAGGCAATTAATTTTACAAAAATATTTATTTTAGAATCTTTTGAGATGTGCATGGTCACCAGACGGTAGTAAGGTATCTGCAGGATCCTCCGACAGATATCACTATATCTGGGATACCACAAGTCGTAGAATATTATACAAATTGCCAGGACACAATGGGTCTGTAAACGACATTGATTTTCATCCGAAGGAGCCTATAGGTACAGGAATATTTTTAATAAAATAAGGATAAGAGTTTTTTTCATATGAATATTATACAAGAATGTAAATTATATCATAGTTCTGTATTCTGTATTTTTGTACTAGTTCTATACTTTTAAAAATTTATCTATTCATATAACATGTGTATTTTTTCAGTATGTTCTGGATCTAGCGACAAGCAAATCTACTTGGGTGAAATTGAGGCTTAATAAAATTGAATTCATATATTGAGCTGTATACATATTTATATATTTGTATAATAAAAATAGAAATGGTGGCAATTTTTTTTAATTTAGTCTTTTCTTATTCTCCTGAAAGAATTTAATTGATTTATATATGCATAAAATAGTGACGGAGTTATTAAAGTTATCAGACGGTTGCTTTCATACTTCTCTCTCTCTCTCTCTCTCTCTCTCTCTCTCTCTCTCCGTAAATTGAAAATTACAATTACGTGATTCACCTCACCTCCGACACGAGTCTCCACAATCTCTCTCGTTAACCCTTTCTCATGCAATCCGTTGGTTGAAACAGATACGACTATTCTGATCGTGGCACATGCGCTCAGCGGGCAAAAGCAAGCAGTTATATCACTGAGAGTGTATTAGTGATTAATCAAAGGCCGTTCGCGAAAATGGCCGATGGACGCGAGTCACGGTCGTTTTCCCCGAAGAATCTATACGTGTTGTGCGTGTCCGCGATAGCGGGCAAGTATCAAAGTTACAAACCGCATCTCGCCGACTTACCAAAGAACGTGCGGTTCGATCTCTACTATCAGGTAAACATCAAGCTGTCATCGCGTCGTCAGCGACCACCACTCGCAAAGCATTGTCAGTCGCGTGCGCGATAGTTGTATTTGTTTTCGCGCTCCGCTTCGCGGGAACAACATTATGCTCCCGTTGATGCTCATCTCTGTGTTGTGCGCTCACTCGCGTTATTTCGTTGAGCCGATCCGCGTGTCCGCGACAGCGTCCTCGTGACAGCGACGCGATTATCATTCTTCGTTATGAGTCATCTCGAGCTCAGCTGTCGAGGATTGACATTCGCGACGCGCCGCGTTTTCGCGATCTCTTCCGAATAAACATTCTGTCTCGTATTTTATCTGCCTATTTCGATCGACAAATCGCGACAAACGCTTAAAGATGACACCGCTTGTTGTCTAGCGAATCGTTGGTCTTGATGAGTTTGATCTGTGTTTCAGTTGTACAAAGACAAGAAATTATGTATATTGGGGGCGGAATTAAGCGATCTGGAGACTTTCTCCAAGATGCTCAAGGTCACCAATCGTCGAATACACCTTTTGCAAATCTTCCAGGTAACTTTACCAGATCCTGCAAATTTTTAAGGATTGTTGTTATCTGAGATTGCTGCATTTTTTTCTTCTTGGCGTCAGAAAATAATTCATGCATGTTCTTGCTCTTGAAGGCTCCGATGGAACATGGAGTAAAAGTAGGACAACATTTGGCCATCAGTTACAATATGCAATGTTTAGAAGTGAGAGAGAATCCTGCTGTACAGGATAAAACTATAAATCTGGGTTTGAGACTCGGTGGATTTCTCAGTGACGCCGGTTGGCATTCCAACAGTGAAGAAGTACTGTTAGCTTGCAAAGAATTATGTATTGCCAACAATCAGACCCCTCAGGATTGGTGTAGAACGTTAGATTGTTGTCACAAGTAAGAACACTGAAACGTATATACATACATAAATTAAATTATATAATTAATATTCATGACAAATTGTAATGATTATATTGTTAATATTTTAGACTATTACATGCACAAGCAGCTTACTGTGCTTTTGACGGGGCTGCAGAAACTCACCAACTTGCCATAGAAATGATAACAAAATTAAAAAATGCACAATACAGTGACAGTAATCACGCTGCACTTTTCGCGGAATTCAGTATACTGTTCTTTATACGCAGTGAATACGATCAAGCTTACAGGTATGCTTGTTTAATAATATTTCTGTCTTTGTGTAATTTTTATTTCTGATGCGCTAACAGTCACCTACTAATCCAGATGGAGTATAGAAGCATTAAAACATTTAAAACCATCACTTCCTGCACGGGTTATCATCGACGTTCTACGACAGGCAGCAAAATCGTGTGTGGTAAAACGCGAATTCCAGAAGGCTGGTTTGTTAATCAGAGAAGCAGTATATCTAGCGAGGGAAATATTCGATACAGATCATCCAAAATACAGTGACGTTCTTATCGATTATGGATTCTACTTACTAAATTACGATAGCATCATCAATAGTGTATCCATCTATAAGGTACTCATCTTTGTGCGCATCTTCTATGAAATTTTATAAAATTATTTTTATGAAAATGATTGCGAAACATTCCGTTTTGCTTCAGACTGCATTAGATATTAGAAGAGTGATTTTCGGCAAGATTAATCTTCACGTTGCTTTGGCACACGAAGACTTGGCTTATGCTCTCTATGTGTACGAATATAGTTCCGGCAAATTCGACGAAGCCAGGTAATTAATTGAAATTGCGTATGTCATATGTGACGGCGCGATTAATGCAGTTTTTTTATTTTTACAGCGATAACGCTGGAATAGCTATAGACATTATGGAAAAACTTTTACCCACAAATCATTTGATGCTCGCGAGTGCTAAGAGAGTAAAGGCGCTTATTCTCGAAGAGATTGCCATAGATAATGCGTCCACGCCTATGTCCGAACAAAACCTGTTACTCAAATCTGAGTGTCTTCACCTGTCCGCGTTGCAATTGGCGAAGACTGCGTTCGGTGAAAGAAACGTACAAACGGCGAAACATTATGGAAATTTGGGTCGCTTGTATCAGAGTATGAGAAAGTTTCAGGTATATACATTTCAGTAACTTGGCGCGAGACACGAAAGGTCAAGCGAATGCACAGGGTGTTTCAGAAATGGGCCAGAAGCGTATTCCATTCATCAAGAATGGAAGACAATCATTTATTTCTGAAACATTCTATATTTATATCGCTGTCATATCGCACGCTTATTCTTGTTTATTCTTGTAGGAAGCAGAAGCAATGCACTTGAAAGCTATTCGTATCAAAGAAGAACTGCTGGGTCCTGATGATTACGAAGTGGGCTTAAGTATAGGGCATTTAGCATCATTGTACAATTTCCACATGAACCGGTACAGAGATGCTGAGAAGCTTTATTACCGTAGTATCGCAATCAGTAAGTATATGTGTTTCAAGCTAACTCTCTTGTGACGCAACATGTCGGTATACTTTATATTTCATAACTCATTATGTTTCAACAGGTTTGAAGTTATTTGGAAAGAGTTACAGTGGTTTAGAATACGATTATCGAGGACTTTTACATGTGTACAGTAAATTAGACGAGTATCAGAAGATATTGGAATACACAGACACGTTAAATCATTGGAAAGAACTTAGAGACAAACATGCTCAATCCGAAGATCCACCGATCGACATACAGAAACGTCCGCAACCAATCGCAAACATTATTAATGTGTTCTTTTCCATGTGATATATCAATAAGTGTGTCTAATTCAAATTTTGTCATTGAACATCATCGAGCGAGTTGCTGGTTTTGTTGTGTTTACAAGACATTGGGCCAAAGTAGAAATTACTCACATTTAAAGGTTTATAAATCACGATTAATAACTGTGTCTGTCTTGTCTCGGTATTTTACAATACACGTGAGTAGTATCGTTATCACAGTCTGAAACAGTTATTATCAGCATGATATTAAATTTAACGATAATGAGATTGTTAAGTTTGTAAATTATTTTTAATAATGATACTAATGAGATTTTCATTGATGAGCGATATAAACGTTATCTGGGGCTTTCTGTTTTTTAGTCCGAGTTCAATGCTTATGTTGAATTAGACTTAAGATTTATCTAAATTAATCTCGATGTATTGCAGGTTCTTGTATCAAATTATGTTTTTAGTATTTTGTATTTATATATATATATATATATACATACATATATATATACATATATATGTATATATATTGTTGAGGAACATATATATATCATTTTAATATAAATATTTTTTTAAATTTGTTAATCTTATTCGTATACAAGTATATACGAATATATGAATATACTTTACGATTTGCTATTTGTTGATAATTCTATTTTCAATATTTTCAAGAGAATTGTTCAGATTTTGTGCAATTTCTATCGATTGGTGCAATTCATTGTTCATTTTAAGATTTCTATGATTGTAAATTTTCATGCATTGCATAATTTTTAAGTAATAAAAAATAATCAGTATACATCTACCTGTGTTAATATAACAATGTAGTTAAGAAGATAGTTATTAAAACTATTTGAACGTGATAAATAATTTGACGAACAAATGTTCTGTTGTCTAAAACGGTACCTTTTTACCACTTTGTAACATTCGGTATCGCTAAATTTAAAAATATTATCCTATGTACATTTTGTAACCTTTGCATCAAGCATATTGTAAAAACGTCGTGATATAAATAATTAACAATTACGCGTTTGCGCGCATATCTTCAAAAATTGCTAAAGATATCTTGAGATGAAAAATTCTTAAAATTTACGTCAATTATTCATTTGTGTAAATTTATATAACGTTTTTGTATCTTGAAACTTTGTTTAGGCACATTAGATTTAGGTCGAGCGACTAGGTGATAAAACATTCGTTCGTTATAAACTTGTATAATTAGAATTAGCAATCGTAGAATAACAAATTAAATAATAATCATAGATCAACTTAATCAATGACTAAAATTACTAACTCGATCATTTGTTATATTAAAGAAAAACAAGTTATAAGTAAAATATACTAGAAAAAAATGTTTCTACATAAGCGCATAAAAATAAATTTATGCAAATTTCTCAGTTCTCAGAAATTTTATAATTAAACTTTTATAATTAAAATAAAAAAAAACAAAAAAAACAAGATAATGTTAATATAAATACTCACGATATTCTTTTAGATAACTCACATACATTCAAAAGCTTTAATCTGTTTAAATTACAATAACCATTAGGTAGTACATAACTTTATATTTACACGATATTTGCTGTATCACTCTGTGGTTTTTTTTTCAGGTAATAGGAATCTTATCTAAATCCCACTCTCCTGCGCTCTATCAATGTTTCTAATTTCTTTTCTACAAAGAAAGAAAGAAGACAATTATGTTAAAGGTTCTGTAATCGATGTATTTTGAAAACATACTAATCAAATGTGAACAATTACCAAATTGATATTGCACATCTCATTGAACTGCGCTAGAATTATGTAACTTTAGAACATTTAGTCAGGTGTATGCGGAGGCTCCTGGCTGAAATATGGTGCGGTATCTTGCACTAACAAAGTATGACAAACATCACAGACTCTGGATGGTCTTTGTTTCGGCCCACTGTTCACAACGTGTGAGAGGCAAGATTGACAAAATATATGGCCACAATGACGGCAATGTATCTGCGTGATATTGATACTCTTTAACTCCACTGTACATAGTAACTTATCTATCTAACTTGTGCTTTTTGTATTTACCTTCTTTTTTGTGACTGAGAACGTAGTGTGGCAACTAGGACATTCTTCAACGTCCTCTTCGTGTTGCCATCTTACTTCGCTGCCTGCTTGCCTAATCCTTTCCAATTGTACCTGTGTGATTATTAAAATATTAAGAAGTATGTAACAGTCTTAGTACAAAGTACATTCTCTTCCAATTTAACGAGTCATTTTTTCATCTGTGAATTCTGTCCCATTTTATCTATCAATTTTGAATGAAATTTATTTCTGTTTACATCATTTCTTTTACCTGCAATGATTGTGACAATCTGACAAAGTCCTTTTGCACTGCCTCACTAGTATCTAATTCCTGCTGTAGACTCATAACTCTCTGTCGTAGCTCAATCATAGCCGATTCCGCATCTTCCTTCTCTTTTTGAACTTTCTGCAATTGTTTTTCTAGCCGATCAAGTTTCTCCTCTCTATCAGCGAGAAGCCGATGATCTTTTATATACTTATCTAACTGTACTCTACAAATAATTTGATCGGGATAAAGTTTCGTGTTAACGATTAGAATTTTGATCGTAATCAATAATTTCGTGTTGAAATACTTATCTCACCTCAGTCCACTTATTTCATTCTTTAACACAGAATTATCTTGTTCCTTAACTCTACTCTCTTGCTCCATTTGTTCCCTCAGCAGAGTGACTTCGTATCGCAGTGTCTCCTCCTTCTCCTGCGCAACTTCCTGAGCTACTCTTGCTGTAATTAAATCTTCGCGCATCTTTAAAAGGCTAATATGCAATTCCTCAACAGTATTTGGCATGTTGATACTTTCACTTTGGAGTTGTTGCGAATGCTTGCTATGTTTACCCACAAGATTCTCATTTTCCTTCTGCAGTCTGCAAGTGTAAACAACTGGATTTTGAACAGAGCTTTATCAATGGTCTTATTATTATCTTTCACATATATTTCAACTTGTAGCTTAATGTTGCTAAAAATAAATTTATCGCAAAAGGATTATTGTCTTACACAATGAGATGTCGCTGCACTTCCTCTCTGCCTCGTGTCAATTTACAGAGTTCGTCAGACACACTCCTTTGAAATTGTTCGAATGTCTTTTTTAACTCTAACAAATTTTTTTGCGCCGTCTGCGAGGTAACCATGAGTTCTGCAACTTTGATTTTGTGCTCTTCTTTCTTCTCGTTCCATTTTTCTTCCATTTCTTTACGAAATTCCACCTCCTTAGCTAGATCCTCCTTTTGAGCTTGCAGCATACGTTCAGAATTCAACAACTGTTTCTCCAAATCCTTGGTAGTCGCTTCCACTTTGACTAATTGTGCTTCATAATTCGCACACATATCACACGACGGCTCAGAAGTGCCGGGTTCTTGCTGCCGTCTCTTTAATAAAACTTCTTTACATTTTTGTAGTTCGTCATCGGTTGACCTTAATTTTTCTTTTAAAGCTTTTATTTCCTCCTCGAGTGGCACAACCAGTGAACGTAAAACTTCTGCATCTTCTTGTGCCTACATGAAATCACACAGTTTTTGTATTTTATCTATAATAAACGGTATAAAAATAAATACTATTATCATTATAAAATAAACGTTGTTTTCAATTATGTAGCATTACTAATATTCCTGTATAGTATTAGCAGAATTATTAGCATTCCTGCAAATTTGATTATACACAAAGGATTAGGTGTTTCATGCATTTAGATTTACGTACATATCTTTTTACCTTCCGCATGCTTTCCTCTAAATTATCAGGACCTAAAGATAAAGAATCTGCGCCTAATTGTGAAACCACTTTTCTAGCTAATGTTTTGGTTACTGTAGACAACGAAATTTGTGGTCCATCTGTTGGCGGATCGCGCGGCAATTGCGTTTTCAACAGCGCATTCTCATCTTGAAGCTTAGAAAGAGTTAATTGTAACTTGGATATTTCGGTGACAAGCTGCTTCCTTGAGCAAGAGGACTCCTCCACTGTTTCATGTATAACCTGTCGTAAAGATGCTATCTCCTCTTCAGCTTTCCTTTTCTCCATCATAATATCATTTTGTGTCTTAAGATCCGCAACAAGTAGTTGACTTTTAGCTTCATCGAGCTCATTTTTTAATCTCTGAATTTCCTTTTGCAATCCTATGTTTTCTTCAAGTCTCCGTTTTAGTTCTTCTACAAAATTCATTCATTGCATCTTGACATAACTGTTGCAAAATTGTGTGTCCAATAGTTACCAAAGTGTATACTGTTACATACCTTCTTTCTGAAGAAACAATTCTTTCATCTTAGCCCTTTGTACATTAAACTCCTCTCGCATTTTAATATTTTCCAACTCCAATCTGTTGGCCTTTGTCTGTGAATCTTCTAAATCATAACAAATATTCCAAATAAAAATACAAAAGGCTCTAACAATTAAATAATTACAATAAATAATAAGGGATAAAAGAGTGGTAGCGCCAGTTGTTCATGCCAAAAAAAATCTTATGATATGCAAAAACGTTTGTAATTTCATAATATATACATAATACTGTTTCCTTTTAACACAAACAATTAGCTACGACTCTTGCCCCTTGTTACTTATCGCGCGATTAACAAATACTCTCTTAATAAAATTAAATCGTGCTGCAATGCGGTTTTAGCGTTAACAAGCATACAGTAATATTGCGACTATAACAAAGCAGATAAAGTATTTTTTTCGAGTAAATGCTGACGTGTTTAATTTTTCTGTTTATATATATATATTTTTTTAAATTTTTTTGTCAAAGATCTAAACAAAAATAGTCACCGTGACTCGCTGACGTACTATCTCCGTTCGCGGTGACCGCTCGATCGTGTTGGTTCTCCATCGTTTGATCAGTCAGCACAGGTAATAGCAACTTTGTTGGGGCGGGTCACTGCCACGGACACGAATCCGGGAAACATATCTCGGAGCTCCGTCGGGGCTGGTGATGTTCACTCGACGACGACGATGACGGTTGCGGCGGCGACGGCGGTGACGACATGCCGCTGCTCGGACTCGTCGAGAATTTTATCTGCTCGTTAATGCGATTTGTAGCGTTGCGAATAAAAATCTAATCCGTGAACACCGCGGGACTTGATATTAAATTACTTGGGCGAAACGAAAAATTAACCATCCAACAACTTGGCGATTCCGCTAGCAACGCATCACCACTTTTAATAATCGGTAGAGCTGTTCTTTTTGGACACACTTTCCGCACTTTGCGGATGTTTATCTTCCTCTCTTCAAGGAGTGATTATGTATCTTGTATCTCTCTCTAGATACAAGAAATACGAGAAAATTCTGGCACGTTAGGGTGAATCCATACAAACTTGAATATTCTTATGCGCTACGCAAGTCGATCTGGATATACCTTTAGACTTCGATTATCGATTATTTGAATCGATGTTTGAGATTTATACAGGGTGCTAAAAAATTATAACTTTACTTGAGAATTTTTGTTAATGTCAATTCAATTTGGTGGTTGGTATTTTTCGCTTTCTGCATTTTTGTATTTTGTTTCTAAATATCTCTTTTTCTCTCTTTAAGGTGAACGAAACGAAAGTTGTAGTACAAATGGACAAGGAGCGATTTCTTGTATAAAAATAAGTGCAATAATAAATCTTGTTCTTCGAAGTGTGCAAGAACGATTTTGACAATTAAAATTGTCATTGTTAATTTAAATTAGCGCAGAAAGCTGTCGGAAAGAAATTTGGTGATTTTCAGTCACCCTGTATACTAGCAGAATACGTATGTATATACTGTTTCTTGCAGACGACTCGTTTTTCTGCTGGCTAAAGCATTTATTGCGTTTACTACAACAATCGCGATTAACGCATAAATATTTAAGAGTGCACGCCGTACGGAATATTATGAAATCGACTGTCAGTATGTTATTGTTGCGTGTAATTGTCTGGTCGAATGACCAAAGTCGGTAAAAAGTCCGAATTTTCCGGCAACCGATGGTTGAAGAGGCAAACCTATAATGGCGAAGTGATTGGCGCGCACCGATCCTCCTGAGTCACGCTGCGAATTTTCCCGAAGAGATTTTTTTCAAGTTAGGTTACTTTTGTTTACTTCCGGTTACTTTCTGTGTGCTTCCAGTATAACTGCTGATCCCCTTTGTGAGCACGTGCTTGCTGAATTTATATTCAAATTGAATAAATCAGGTGAGAGCATTGTTTACATCATGTTTATTTACGCAGTTGCATCGTCATATATTTTGTTATACTCTTTGTTAATATTAATTATACTTTTATTCTTTTTTTTTTTAACGAAACATGTTCTATGAAGATCCAAGGCAACCGGATTCAAGATTTATTTTTGTGAGCGTTATGAATACTATTTGTAAACCTATTCAGCCAGCAACAGCATCTGCAATTATGATGAGCCTAAACGATTGTTTGGACGACTTTGATCGGCTGAGTGAAATTAATACCAATTATGCTTTTGGAATTGATAATTCCCCAATGAAAGACTTTTGCAGAAAATGTTGTAATAATAATAAAAGCTTCTTGCTGGATGGACAAGATCTCCATTACAAAGGACTACAGATCTCTAATGCCGAGGAGTTTCTAAAAAAATTGAATTGCACAGAGAAAGATAGCAAAGTTAAGGTTGTTTCAATATTCGGAAACACATGCGACGGGAAAAGCCATACTATGAATCAGCTGTTTTTCAAAGGCGAGGAGGTATTTCAGATGTCCAATAACCAAAATTGCTGCACGTTAGGTGTTTGGGCGGCTTTTGATCCGACTCTCAATGTTATTTGCTTGGATACAGAAGGTTCAATATATTTTTTAAAATATTTTTATTCTAATAAAATGATTCTTTTGTACTAACATTTATTCGTGTTGTTTCAGGTATTAGTTGCAAAAAGGAGCACATAAGACTATTACTGGAAGTTCTCGCGGTATCTGATATTGTGATTTATGGTATTCATTCGGAAAGACTCAATAGGGACTTATTCACATTTCTGGGTGCTGCTTCGTGTGCCTACACTCGTCATTTTAAAGCAGCCTTGCAGACGATAAGACAGCAGGAGGCTGATTCCAACTCGCTGAGCACGCTTGGGCCATGTGTTATAGTGCTGCACGAGACTAAACACAGCATACCTTTGACCAACAGTACATATTGCTACTCTCTCAAATTAACAGTAATTTCGAACTCGGAATTTCATTACGAGTAAGACTGCACTATCTGCAATGAAACATTTGGTCTATTTTTTTCAGATGAGTCAGAGAGCGCAGAGGACATTTTGAGATCTAAATTCGCACAAATGAGCCTTGAGATCGATGCTTTCAGCTCTATCAAATACGTTGGTCTACAAAAGATGAACAACGCTACGGATTACAAGGAATTGCGTTCCGCAATTGCGATGGAATTGAAAAACACGACGGTCCGTTCAGCCAGAAAGCCATATTTAGTGTATAACATGCTTAAGAACTTGAACGATGAATTCTCTAGTGAAACCGAGAGCTTTTCCAGCACTCTGTTTCCAGATCAATATTTTGTATGTCCCGTTAAATGTCTGAGCTGTGATAACGGATGCAACAATGGCATAGGACACCTTCGTGAAGGAAAACCACACAGCAGTAACACCAGGTTGGTTTTGTTGTATATAAATTTTTTTGCCACGTTGCGTTCAATCGATGTGTGTGATGTGTTTGCATCTTGATATGCAATGTTTTATAATTTTTAATTCGACATATTACCATATAATAACGTTTGTTACAATAGGTGCAAATTCCAGTGTCAATATGAAAATTCGATATACATATGCAAAAGATGTTACAAGAACGGAAATGAAATTGAAGTGACCAGACGGTACCAGGAAGAAGATCAAAATAGTTGGTACAGTTTCGCGAAAAATGCCTGGACTGGATATGTAATAGACTGCGCACATTGTGGAGAAATATACAGAAGCAGACAATATTGGTATGGCAATAATGCGGAGGATGTTGCTATACGCAAGAAGATTACTCACGTGTGGAGTTTGGTAAATATTGCGAAAGAAAAATGACTTCACGTGACTCTATGTTTCTTTGCTAAACAAAGTAATCCACCTGCACGCTATCTTTCAGCCAAATCATTCCATAACGCCTCACAACACAGCCCAACGAGTCATTGATAGCGTTTCGTACATCACTGAAGCCGTCACGAACGCTTCGTTGCAGCCTACGAAAGCGTTGAAAGCTTGGGCTGCGGATCAAGTGGCGCCTTCTTATTGGCGACCAAATAGCGAGATAAAGTGCTGCTACAAGTGCAAGTCCCTGTTCAGTCCATCGGACGACAAACACCATTGTCGCGATTGCGGAGAGGGTTTCTGCGCGCAGTGTTCGTCGAAAACCAAATGCGTGCCTAGCAGAAATTGGTACTCGCCCGTGCGAGTCTGCGACGCATGCTATGAGAAGGAAAGCAATTATTCCAGCGATGATTCTCTCGAACCTCTCGAAGATGTCAACGTACGAAAGGTGACGGAACACGTAGTGTCCACTTTGACCGCTGTAGGGACCGTTATAAACTACTCCAAGTGTGAGTAAAAGCGTTCTGTTAATATTCATATTTTATGTGATGAGATTTTGTCATTTAGAATAAAAGTTTTATTGTTAAATTAATTTATATGTTAATATGTCAGTAATATTCTTAATATTCTTTTTGATTATTTCACGTGTATCAAGAATTTAATTCTCAAATCACTGGAATAAACTTTTTTACTTTTGCAGCGTTCATAAAAGATTCTGTTCGACCATCCTACTGGACGCCGGATTCGAAGGTCGTTAACTGTTGCGTCTGCGAGCGCAAGTTTTCCACCGTACTCCCTTTACACCATTGTAGGGCTTGTGGCCGCGGAGTGTGTCACGAATGTTCGCAGCATCGTAAACCAGTGCCACACAGAGGGTGGAATAACCCTGTTAGGGTATGCAACGCTTGTGTTTGAAGTCGACTGAAAATATACTTTTTGAAGTATAAGATTTGAGAATATAGATCTCATTTGCGAAGAATGATTGTTTACTTTATGTAATTGCTTTTGTAAGACATACAAAAGTTGTACTGGTTTTAATTACGATCAATGTTATAGAATATTTAAAACTTTTTTCAGTTTTTTAAAAGATTTTAATAAAATCTTTATTTTATAGATTTCAAAATTTTTAATTTTTTATTTGGCTGTTCTATTCGATACAATATACAAATTATTTTAATTTTAGATAAACTTATAAAACTGATAAATATAATTTTGTATGCGTTGTTGATATACTTTTAATATTATTAAGATTTTGAAGAATTACGGTTGATATTTACGGTTTGAGATGCTTTAATGGCGCTAGAATTTGTTGAATATGTTTGAAAAAGCTGCACTTTATTTTTATCTGTAATTATAATTTAAAAAATGATTCTAAGAATCATATCGCTTTTAACATGCAACCGTGCAGAGAAATGTATGATTGTGCCATAATTGATTATGATTGTTATTTAAAAAAATAACTTTCTAAAGCACATCAGAGACCATCTTTAGTACAATTTTATATCCATCATAAATATGAATCAAGAGAGACATACATTTATATAAGAGATGTTCTATAAGAACTGTATTGTTAAAGATTTATGTATCGATAATAGCTATAACGAAAGTTCTGTGCATAACGTAGTAATGTAATATACATTAACGTTTGTACATATGTACAGTATTCTGATAACAATGGCAAGTAGTGTACAAAAAATACGAGAAATATAGACCTCGTGTGGCTGTGAAAATTGTTAAAACTAACAAAGCATTTGAAGACTCATAATTTTAAATTTGTGCATGAATGACAGCATTGTATGAATTTTTCAGAAATGGAAATTGTGTTGCTTCTATCGACGTTCTGTACATTACGATAAATAGTTCTAAAAATAAAGTTTAAATTCCCAAAATGAATTGTGTTCTCATGTTAGATGAGGTATATTTTTTAATTCGAATATATATTAATTTTTAAAATTTTCTTGATTCGACGAGCTTTTTTTACTCGGAAAACTTTGCAAAAGTTTGAAGCAATTTATATATTCACTAATCACTGTCTCTTTTTTTAATCTGTCCTTTTATTTCCAACATTAATTATATTTTTAGACACAATACAAAAAGTATGAAACATAACTGAGTTTATCCGCGATATCTAACGATGCTGACGATTATTTCAGGCGACCACGAAATTGCGAAATGTTATACTTGGTTGTCCCATTGCCGAGGACGGTAAGGACAAATCCAGTTATTCGTGCGTTCGCGGGTGAGAGATACGTGAACGAGACGTGGGATCGACGCGTGTCGCGTCGCAAACTCGCGTGATACGCTCGATGAGCACGCGATGACGTCAGAATATGGCGTCTCAATCAGCTGGATGTTGTGTAGAGTGTGCCTGCTGCGATGCCCGTCTTTAGAAAACTAACGAAGACCACCGTCTGTCCGTCGAGATACGTGAGTTTCAGCGCGAAATCGCCGCGCATCCCGATACAATCGCGATCGATCCAAGTGTTTGCGTTCGCGTCTCGAAGAAGAGAAGGCTGCGAATTATGAGTGGCGGTGAGAAACGGCGAATACACGAAATGTTGATTGCAATTCGGCGACGATGACGACGGTTTTCGCACGTGAGCGATTTCGCGACGCACGCCAATTCACCGTCCGATCGTCCCTGTGTTTACACGCCAGATTCTCTGCGGAATCCGTCGTCGTTCGCGGACGCTTTACGAGAATCTTTCGGTTCGTAACGACGTGAACGCGAAAATAAGAAGCGGCGAGAGAAAAAAAATTCGCTCGCCGTTCTAAATGCGAAATTTATCCAGCGCGAGAGTTTCGACTTCCTCGCCAGACTTTGCAATGTTTTTCATTCTTATGTAATTCTCGCGAGTGCATTCCGACCGCGCCGCACCGCCGAACACCGTGTCAATCATCATGTGCGTGTGTGCGGCGAATGATG